CACAGCCCTTAGTAATAGTTGCTGGAGATAGATATACTTGGCCAACTAACCATAACAGAGTGGTAAGAAGAGTTAAACAGAACGGTTAGGAAAGTTTGTTATGATTTCTTGTAGCTCTCTTGTAGAGTTACATGTATATATAGTCAACTCTTGTAATTTTACAATCAGATTAATGAGAATAAGATTTTTCTCTGAGTTTCAATATGGTATCAGAGCTACAATGGCTCTGATATCTGCTTCAAAAAATTTGTACACTACATCGTTCTTTTCTCTATGGCGAATCAAGATCAACTTCTTGCATTTCTCACTAATCCATCTCATTCACTTTTTCTCCACTCAAACAAGAATCCATCACAAGTCATTGTGGTGCGAACACAGCAAGTATACTGGTCGTACAAGTAATAAAGTGATTAAGTAAAAGTATCGTTCCCACGAAGATTAAATTCAAGCAATATTTTCACCCTTTTTATTTAAGTTAGACAATTCCAAAAGGTGTTTTCAAAGGTAACCAATATTTAATTAAAAATTCAATTAAAGATGCAGTAAAAGAAATTAATTAAAAAGATAAACTTAAAATTATGAATAAAAAAGCAGTTAGGTTTACTTCACCTCCGATCCCCCCTTAATTGGTTTAATTACAATTCAATAATATTCTATCTCAATTATTTCAAACAATTCATCATTTAGAAATTAATTGGATAAATCCTAATGTCTTAGTTCTTTAACCCTTTAACCCAATCAGAATCCTAATGTCTTAGAAATCCCTTTTCGATTAAGCCTTAAGCGCGATGAATTACAAAAGTTTGCAATTCTTACAAGCCTATGTCTAGATCATGCAAGAATTGGTGTTCTACTGATATGCCTCCAGAATATATATGATTTTAGCCAAAAAGAGAAAGAATCTTGATCAATCCTGGATAAAAAGGGCTATAATTACTATTAATTTGATAAATCTCAATCAGAGATCATGCAACTGATTTTCGTATGGTTTTGTACGAAAACAGGACAAAAAGAAGCCCAATTGGAAGCTACAGGCTGAAGCCCCACGCTATTAGCGCGGAATCCGCACTAGTAGCGCCACAATGAACTTTCCATCCAGAGACACCCACGCTACTAGCGTGGAATTCACGCTAGTAGCGCTAGCCAATCTTGCCACCCACGCTAGTAGTGCAGGATTCACGCTAGTAGCGCCAAGCTACTGATTCAAGAACAAAACTCCCACGTTATTAGCGCGGAACTGGTGCTAGTAGCGCAGGAGGTGCGTGGTGATTTTTAAACCTTGATTAAGACTGAATCAGAGAAGATTGGACTGAGATATATGATGAAGATTCGATCAAGATTTCTAAGCAAGGCATAAACTCTATAAATAGAGACTCGGACCTCAAACACAAACAATCTTTGGCTAGAGAGAATTGTGAGGTCAGAGAATTGAGAGGATTCTTGGAGACTCGTGCTGGAGATCAGTATTCCACCGGAGTTGAAGACCGAAGATCATTGAGCTTCCTTCTTCTTCTTTTCTTTTTAGTTTATAATCAATTTTTATTCTTTTAATTTGTTAAAGCCAGCTATGTCTGGCTAGTTTGTTTTTGTAGTTGGGATCACGGACCGAATGAGAATCCTTTATATTTTCTATATTGTTTTTATAATTTAATTAGTTTAGTTTGTTTTATTCTGCCTATGTTAATTTTTTCATATCCTGATTAGAACTGATCACTCTAATTATAGGGCTTTGAGGGTTAGGGCTCACAATATACATATTGGGTTTTAATCTGGGCAAGGGTAGAATAACAATTTATGCATGACCTAGACATAGGATTATATAGATTGCAGACTTTTAAATTCATTTGCTTAATGCTTAATTCAAGAGGGATTACTAGGACACTAGAATTCTAATTGGGTTAAAGGGTTGAAATCACTAAGACATTAGTGTTCAACTATTTTATAGGGAAATAATGAATTGTCTGAGCAAACAAATTAGTTAATTATAAAATACAATGTAGGAATATAAGGGAGGATCAGAGGTGAAATGCATCCTGGCTACAGTCTTTTTACAATTCTTCATAACTCATATTTTTCGTGACGTTCTTCATCTTTTCTTGCATGCGTTTTAATATTATTGTTTTTAAAAATTCTGTTTTTAAATTCCAATAATCAATCACTTTCACAAACTAAACAAATTTTCTTTTCCAACTTAAGGAGAATAGTTAAATTTATACTTGGTGCATTAATCCTCGAGGGAATGATCTTTACTTATCACTTTTATTACTTGAAACGAACGATATACTTGCCGATTTCGCAACATCTACCCATGTCTAGATCAAGATCCCAATATGTCTATTGTGAACCCTAACCCTCTTTATCCCTATATAATTGTCCAGATGATACAATAATTAAAACATGCAAATCAAGGTAAACACAAATAATTTGAGACAGTTTATTAATGAAAAGAATTAAACCAAAACAAGGATTCACGTTGGATCCATATCCCTAACTATTAAGAAAACTAGCCAGACATAGCTGGCTTAAACAAAATAAAGAAAGAAAAAGAAATCATAAAGAAGAAGAAGAAGAAGAATCAATGTTGCTCAGTCTCCTTCAAGCTCTTCTCTCTCTGAAATCTCCAACTCTGGACTCTGGTGTTCTCCTCCTTCCTCTGAAAGTGTTTCCTCTGTCGAATTGCGTCTTTTTGATTCCAAGAGATGCCTTTTTATAGGGATGAAACCATATCTTTTAATTTTCTATCATATCTTCAATGGAATCTTCACTAGAAACCAGTGTTATCAAAATCGGACCGACCCAGCCGGGTCGGCCCGGAAACCGGTGACCCGGTCCCTAAACCGGTCCGGGTTGGACGTTGGATCGGACTTGTCATGGAACCGGTACGAACCGGTGTGAACCGGCCGGGTTTTAGGAGAACCGGTGACCCGGACGGGTTTTATAAAAACCGGACGGGTCATGCGTATTCATTAAAAAAAAAAAAAACTAATACGACGTCGTCACATGACCCACCTGACTCGCTTTATTTCTAATCAGCTAGTCTCAAACCCTCAAACCCTCAAGTCTCAAGTCTCATCTCATCTCAGCTAGTTTCAAGCACTGTTCGTCAGCGAGGCATTGAGCAAACTACATTGAGCAAGTTCGTCAACTCAAGTTTCAAGCATTGTTCTTCATTCTGAGTTTTTTCTTTTTGTTTAGATCTTCTGGTAAGGTTCCCCTAACTTTGCGTTTTTTCTTTTCTTTTATGCATGTTTTTTTTGTGTGTGTCTGTGCTGTAACCATGGTTGTAATTGTGTCGGTGTTGTAAGGAAGTTCGTTAACCTGTTTGTTTTTTTGTTTAGATCTTCACTTTCACTTTAGATCTTCAACCTGTGTCGGCCATTTGGGTAATAAAAATTGGACAAAAAATAATGAAAAGGATAGGATATGTAAACAGAAAAATATTTATTTGGACCGTTAGGAAAATCTGAGTCTAATCTCTAATGTACTTCAATGATTTTAAGACCATTCTGTTCTGCCAACAGAGTTTCATTGTCAAATTAGCTAGATTCATAAAAGGGAAGAGTTTTTATAGATTAGTTTTAAGACCAATAGGATATTTTTATAGATTAATTTTTTTCCCTCACATCTATAAAAGGGAAGAGTTTCATTGTCAAATTAGCTAGATTTATAGAGCAAATAATATTTACTTCTAACACAAGTAGGATAGTAGTAGAACTCAAACAATGATAGAATGTGAGACAGATTCTCTTGTCACTTAACAATGACTGAAGAGTAACAACAATGGTACCTTCCATATTGCATCGCTGCAACTTCTCCAATTCAGTATAGTTTCTTATGTTTCTATTCTATAATATAAGAAACTTTAACTAAACTGACATGAAAAGGCACAAGATAACCTTTAAGGAAAATATTGCAAGAGTTTAAGATAATTTATTTTAAAATCAGATATGTTTTAAATATAAAACTCAGAGAGAGTCATGGCCATAATTTGAGAAAATGAACTCTTCCATGGTTGCATAAAAGTAAGTTATCTCAAGATATTAACCACATGATTTCTACATCAATTCATTAGACATTCTTTCTCATCAAACAAGTTTAATAAGAAAATTGAACAACCTCAAAGGAAAGAAGATAAATACCCCCCACTGAGTTTATGGTTCAAACTAGGAAAAAGAACTTAAAGGGAAGTAGAATTAAGAGCAACTAAAATTACTAAAGAAAAGAGATGCTATTAACATAAAATTAAACAATGACTAGGATACAAATTCTCTTTTCCGTTAGCTTAGTATCTGTTGAGTAGAAACATCACTGCAACTTCTCTAATTCAGTATAGTTTTTTTTTTATAACAATTAACATGATGTTTTTTCTTTTGATAATTAGAAGAAGCCTACCCATCCACTTCATATTTATAAAGCAACTCTGTTTGACATTTTGCATGTTATTGTGTTTACATATCCTATCCTTTTCGTTATTTTTTCAATCAAAGACAGGTCCTCAAGTTTTGATGCTTAAATAAATGAATGTTGATTCCTTGCTACCTGCCAATTAACTATTGTTTTTGCTGCCAATTAACTGAAGCTGTAAATTACATTATCTTGACATTAATCTAATTAATCTAATTTGAGTGTTGTAGCCTATAAGACCCATTATAGGGGCCACTATCTCTTAAACCAATGATTATTAATTAAGAGGTTAAGGCGTTGATATGGCCATGCTCAAACATATTTTGCATTGGTTTTGTGCTTCATGGTTCTTATTGGTTTATATATGATCTTATTGGTTCTGTGCTTGATCATTTAAATTGGGATTAATAAAATTGTAGTGTATGATAGATGATACCTAACGGTTATTTGACAACTACATGCAGCACCATTAGATCGTGAACATATATATATATATATATATATATATATATATATATATATATATATATATTAGGATTAGATGATAAAATATGTGTATATAATTTGTGGCAGGTAAGCTGGATATATAGCTAGATATGTCATCTACTGAACCTGAAGCACCAGTCTCACAAGAAATTTCATCTCAACAATCCTTTCAAAGAAATCAACACAAGGGAAAAACTGATCCAAGTTGGGCACACTGTAAACAACATGTTGAAGAGAATGGAAAAACTGCTCTAATATGTCTTTATTGTGATAAGATAATCAGGGGAGGCGGCATCAATCGACTTAAGATTCACTTGGCAGGAGAAAAAGGGCAAGTTGAACAATGCAAGAAGGTTCCAGCAGATATTCGTTTTCAAATGAAGCAAAATATTGATGAGGGCAGGAACAAAAAAAGAAAAGTTCAAAAGGAATATGAAGATAGTAATCCATTAGATGAAGATCAAGTGAGAGTAGTTGATGAAGTGCCACAAAATCCATCAAGAAAAGCACCTTCTACATCTCAAAAGGGGAAGGGTATTAATCCTTTAGGTTCTTATTTTATGCCCAGAACAACTCCTGGAGCTCAACCTGGCATAAAAAGTGTGTTGCAAAGTAAAGAAGTAATGGAGAAGTGTGACCTTGCAATTTCCAAATGGATGATTGATGCTGGTGTGCCATTTAATACTGTTAATTCATCATATTACCAGCCAATGATTGATGCTATTTGTAGCATGGGTCCAGGGTATAACGGTCCAAATTTTTATAGAGTTCGTGGTCATTTGTTAAATAAGTGGGTTGGAGAAGTCAATAAACTTGTTGAGAGTTATCGCACTGTTTGGAAGCAAACATGATGCACTATTATAGCAGATGGGTGGACTGATCATTGTAGGAGAACTCTAATCAATTTTCTAGTTTACTGCCCAAAAGGAACTATTTTTCTCAAGTCGGTTAATGCTTCTAATGCTTCTAAAATTGCAGACTTATTGTATAAGCTTTTTAGAGATGTAGTGTTGCATGTTGGCCCTGAAAATGTTGTTCAGATTGTGACTGATAATGCTGCAAATTATGTTGCTGCTGGAAGGTTATTGGAGGCTGAGTTTCCTAAGATTTTTTGGTCTCCTTGTGCTGCTCATTGTATAAATTTGATGTTACATGACATTGGAAAGCTAGAGGAAGTAAGTGTTGTTGTGTCTCATGCTGCCAAAATTACCAAATACATATATAACCATTGTCATCCATTGCATTTGATGAGAAAATATACAGGTGGAAGGGAAATTCTTCGTCCAGCTCCTACTCGTTTTGCCACTAATTTCATTGCATTACAAAGCATATTGGCTCAAAAAGATGCATTAAGGGCTATGGTAACTTCTAGAGATTGGACAAGCTCAACTTATTCTAAGGAGGCCAAGGCAAAAAAATTTGTGGAACAAGTTTTAGATTCTAATTTTTGGAAACAATGTGCTGAGATTGTGAAGCTTACTGAGCCACTTATTCGTGTGTTACGTATTGTTGACAGTGAAAACAAACCTGCCATGGGTTTTCTTTATCAAGCTATATTTAAAGCTAGAGAGGAGATGATAAAGAGATTTCAAAGAAACAAGAAGAAGGTGGAGCCTTACTTGCAAATCTTAGATCGTCGTTGGGATTCACAGCTTCGCAAAAATCTTCATGCTGCTGGTTATTGGTTGAACCCAGGTTGTCGTTACAATGATGAAGAATTTGAAAAACATAAGTTCACAACATCAGGCCTTTTGGATGTCATTGAGAAATATGCTTATGGGGATCCTGATTTAAATTCTAAGTTGACAAGTGAGATGAGAATATTCAAAAATGCTGAGTTAGATTTTGGAAGGCCATCTGCTAAACGCGAACGAAATACCGTGATGCCAGGTAAAACTTATCATTGATATCTTTTTTTTTATGAGCATTAATTCTTATTATTGCTGAATAATATTAATACTAATTTATTTTATCACATGCAATATTCTAGATCAATGGTGGGAATCTTATGGATGTGGTGCACCAAATTTGCAAAAATTGGCTATTCGTGTTTTAAGTCAAACATGTAGTGCTTCAGGTTGTGAACGCAATTGGAGTGCATTTGAACATATTCATTCGAATAAGAGAAATAGATTAGAGCACCAAAAGCTTAATGATCTTGTCTATGTCCGTTACAACTTGAGGCTGGCACAAAGGTATTATTGAGTATTTACTTTTTTTTATATAATTATTTCTCCAAGTATTTCTAATGTTGAAAATTGAACAATTTTTTTTTGGTATGCATAGGAATCGATTGAAGAATCAAAACTATGATCCAATAAATTTTGAAACATTTGAGGACCATTCTAATTGGGTACTAGAGGATTCACCACCATACTTAACAGCTGAAGAAATGGAAACCTTACGGAATGAGCTTGCAAATATGTCCATTCAACCAACTCTAGATGATAATGGTGTGTTTACTTATTGTTCTATGATTATTTGATTGTTTGATTACTTCATGTTAATAACTAACTTACATGAAAAAATAATTTGTTTTAGATCAATTAAATTTGGATGATGATGATGAAGAAGATGAGGCACAAGACAACATCATGGAAAATGCAAATCAAACTGAAGGCAATGTTGGTCAAGCTTTGGATTTATTTGATGAAGGAGGAGAGGATGAATTAATTGACACAACTTTGCCTCTGTGGGCATAATTATATGTTTTTGTGCTAGTAATTCGATTTGTTTGTTTTCTCTTGATATCGACAAGAGTTATTGTTCTAAACTTGTGCTAGATATTAAGTGTTTAAGAACTAGACAAGTATTATATATTTGTTTTATCTTTTGTTGGACAATAGTATATGATTAATTGCATTTTAAATTAGAATATTTGGAATTGGTATTTTTTTTACAGGTATTTGAGTATAAATTACAGGTTTGCATATATTTACCGGGTCATGCGGTTGAACCAGTGACCCACTGGTTGACCCAGTGACCCAGTACCTCGACCGGGTCGATGACCGGGTCGAGTTTAATAACATTGCTAGAAACTCTAATCATATCTTTAATTCAATCCTTCAAATCTTCCCCTTTTTATTTAATGGAAAACTTTCCTTAAAAATATTCAACGAAGATTTGATAAGATCTTTAATGATTCAGAAATCCAAAGAAATCTACTTGATCTCTTCAATTTATCTCTTTATTGAGCTGAAATTTACTGCAAAATATAAGAAATCTTATGAGAATATTATTGAAAATAAAATGACAATTTAATTATAATTCTCATAACTTTTAATTACTTTTATATCAATTTCATGCTCATATTGACCTTTAATACATAGTAAATTGGAGACTCATCAAATAATTCCCCAATTTAGACATTGATGTCCTCAACAATAAACTAGAATAAACATTATGAAGCAAGAACGTGACCTTGTGAGAAGAGATATATAAAATCCAAGCATAACATTGCATCAAAACAAACAATTTATAGCAGAAGCTCATGAGAGTACTATGCTAAGCATGAATGATTTTCAGTGTTGAAAATTTCAAACAAGACTTTTCAGTTTCAAAAGGAAAATTAGAGTCTAACTTGAATACCCCTCACTAAGATAAACAATACACTCATCACTCAAGTGTTTGGGGGTATAATCACTCAATCCATCAGTGTAATAATACTACCATACGCTTGATCTTATTCTCAAGTTTCTAAAGTTGAGAAACATAGATGACATGCAAAAATTGATCCAAATGTCTTTTTGTGGTTGTAATGTGGCCTGGTTTAGGGGTAGGAATATTTGAAAGATAGCTAATTTTATTATATGAGATTGAAACACATTTAATTTAATTCAAGGCTCAGTTAATTCTCAAACATTGATTTCACTATGTCTCTTCCTTTCAATTCATGATTTTTATTCCTTTTTCACCACCTTTTTCTTTCATCTTGCTAATAATTTATAGCAGAAATTTTCTTTCACAATTTCTTTCTTTTCCTTTGCACATCATCTTCTGAGACAGATTTTTTTTTTCTTTTAAGGTACTCTTTTCCTTTTTATAACTTAACTTTCAATGGAGAACTTCACCTTAAATTTTCTTTGATCAGTATTTCAATCTCGTTTAAGGGTGAGTCAATAGGAATATTAGCTAAGTAATTTATGCGAATTTGAACAAAAATCAGTCTAAGGCTCAAAGGGGCTAGCAATGGAGAAAAAAAAATTCTTTTCAGGTGGGCTATTTGGCCAAGTGGTTAACAAGAACAAAACAATGCCTTTATCATTTCAATTCATGCATGCATCACAGAAAAATAGATCAAGTTCTAGAGTACTACTACAGTGAGATCTCTAAAAAAAAATTAATTGTTTAGGCTCAAATCTCACAGGCTATGATGTCAAGCTAGATTCTAATTCCTAATTTTCACATCAAAGCTTTATCTAAAAATTATCAAAAAGAAAATCACACAAACGAGCAGTCATATTCTCTAGATAATATTTAATGCAATGTCATGACATAAAAAATTTATTTTGAATTCTCACAATTTAACTTGTGCCTCCTAGAGTTTATTCACATTTACTAACCAATTCAGCTCATGCTATCTTGAGAAAAAAAAAAACATTCAGAGACACTAGTACCAGTAGAATAGAAATTAAACTAAAAAAAACTAAAAATAATAATAATAATAATAATAATAATAATAATAATACAAAAATTCAAACGTTTGAGATATCTCCCCTGAATTTGAAAATTCCTGCTGAGCATATGTATTCCTGTGTGTATTCCTCAGTCCAAGCAGAATATGCACCCAATTTCCAGATTTAAAACATTGCTGTCTCCAGCAATAATACCAAACCAAAAATCTCTGCGACCTAAAAACACACATCTAGATCAAAATAAGATATTAATAACAGGAGAATATCAACGGGAATTTTCAAAATAAGAATATATATCTGCATACAGTACTAAAATAAAATAAAATAAAATAATTATTTTTTAAATAAAATAAAATCTAGAAAATGAAAAGAGACGGTGACGTCAGAAAAAATGTGGTGCTGAGTCAGAAGTCTCTCATCAGTAATGGTATCATCTAATAATGGTATCATCTACTGCTACCTTTGGCCTCTTTTGTGATTGTACCCTTTTTCTTTGGAATAATTTTTTTCCTTGTCCTTTCTCATTAATTTAAAATTCAGAATTATTACACACAAAGCAACTTATGGTGGTTGGATCTTGGGTATTGGTCTACAAGGTTGAAGAACGGTGGTGGGTGGTTTAAATAAAATAAATAAATTAAGAATTAGAAGATGGGTTTTGTCGAAGGTGGGTTCTTATGGAAAGAGATGGGGCGTAGGTTTTGGAGACTCACGGTGCAGGCTGAGGTTTGTGGTGGTTGTGTGGGTTAGAATAATAATAATAATAATAATAATAAAAGTAAATACCCTTTTTATCCTCAGCAAGTTTTACGATGACTGTTTTAGTCCCTAGCAAATAAAAAGGCCATCGTGGTCCCTAAGAAATACAAAATGAACCCATTTTAGTCCTTTTGAGGACTAATATGGGCCTTTTTATTTGCTAGGGACTAAATCGGGCATCGTAAAATTTGCTGAGGACCAAAAGGGTATTTACTCTAATAATAATAAGAAAAAGAAAAAGCGGTTGTTTATGAGTGGGTGGAGCAGTGATAAGGTCTGAAAAAAAATTGGTTTGGGGTCACCGCGGTTGAGTAAAGTTTGGTTTTTGTGTGGAGTTAAAAGAGGAGAACAAGGTGGTGGGGGCTGGTTATGGCTTAGCCGGAGGAGGTGGTTCATCTGGCGGTGAGAGCTTCGGTTGTGGCTCCTCGAAGGAGATGGTGGAGTGCCTCGTCGGTGGCCTTGGTGGTTGACAGCGGTGTGGATGGTGATGGGTTGGGTGGTGGCTGTGTGGGTCTGGGTTGGTCGGTTGGTGGTTATGGTGAATGGAGCGGTTGTGGTTATGGGTTTGTGGAAAAAAAAATTAAGAAAAGGAAGAAGCAGGGACAATGGTTCTTGGATGGTGGCTTTGGAGACATGTGGTGGTTGGTGTTTTGGAGAAGGTTGGTGGTTGGCGCCTAAGGCAGAGAGGTTCATGGTGGCTTCGGTGGAGGTTGGCTGAAGTTGTGGTTGTGCAGTTTTGGGCGATGATTCAAGGATGGGGATGTGGTGGTTGGGAAAGAGAGGGGCGGTGGAGGAATAATAACAAAAAATTCACTAAAAGGACCTGCAGTAGCAACATGGAATTGGCATATGATACGCTAATTTGGCGTACGTGCCGCGGACGAGATGTTCTCTACAGCTTCAAGTGGCGTATGATATTCCAAATTGGTGTATGAGCTCTAGAGATGGAAAAATAGGTTCTGACCCGCGGGTTGGCCCGTGACACGACATGTCAATACATGTGTCGTGTCAACCCGCAGGGCACAACGGGTCGTGTACGGGTTTAAAAAAATTGACACGTTTTTATTCGTGTCGGGTCTCGAGTTAACCCGCGGATTTGCGTGTCAACCCACATATTCATTAAGGGGCGTTTTGTAATTTCATATGGGTATTATGAAACCCATCTTTAGTGTTAGGTCTTCCTCTCTTCTCATGGAGAGCCCTTCAGCCGCACCACCTCTACCTTTGGATTTCATCTACCGGCATTCAGATCTGTTGGCGTGTGCTCCAGTCGCCGGCGTTTCAACCTTGTTCTCCAGAGTCCTGTTCGCGTGCATCATCTTTGCCGCCGTTTCAGTTCTGGTCATGAGGTCATCCACCACCTAGTTCAGCCTGGGTCACGTGCTTCATCTTCGCTGGTAGTAAGCTTTCTCTTTTTTCAGCCTTACCAGGGGAAGACTCGAGTCCTTTAATTGCTGCAGTAACGCAGTTTCAGTTCTAGTGGAGACGCACGATGGAAGGATGTAATTGGTACTTTGTAGATGATGATAATGGAAGGAATGAACTTTCTATATTGGATGATGCACTTTCAAGTGTCAAAGAAACGTGTTTCTTTACTTTTTGAATTTGATGGTGGCCCAGTTTCTACAAACAATTTTTTTTAATAAATTTCAATGGTCTGAGTGGTCAAATTGTGTTTGACATGGATAAGAATTAGTTCTTCTGGTACTGGATCTGTTATTGTTCTAATCACTCCTTTAAAAAATTCTTTCAGTTGTTTTTAATATTTTTTTTCTTTAAAAAAATTCTCAACATTTTTGTTTTAACATTTCTAATCACTTTGGTTTTTAGTTGTTTTTAATTTTTTTTTTTAAAATTCAAAATTTATGCGTCGTGTCGTGTCGACCCGTGACACGCAGTGGGTCGTGTCCGAGTTCGTATTTTTTGACCCGTCAAAAAAACGTGTCGTGTACGGGACGAGCGGTTTCGTGTTCACGTGTCATCCGTGTTGGGTCGTGTCGACCCGTTTTGCCACCCTTAATGAGCTCCCAACGAGATATTCTCTAACTCACAAAAATCACTTCCAAGTGGTGTATGATACGCCAAATTGGCGTATGGGGCGCAGATTCCTCTATTTTTCTTACAAATTTTTCGTTCACTTGAAATTTTTAAAATCACATTAAAATATATCATCTCTTAATCAAAATAAAATAAAATAAAATAAAAGATATGAAATAAATTGGGTTGCCTCCTAATTAGCGCTTGTTTAACGTCACGAGCCTAACGTACGCTTCATAATTGTAGTGGTTGGAAGCATGCTATCATTGATG